GTGGGCATGTGTAAGACATGGCTTGTGCTCAGTGCCACACAAGTATATTCACATACTTTTCTTTCTAATTTTTCATTTTTATTTGACCAATCAAAAAGACTTAATGAAGAAACAAAAGAAAGCAAAGAAAACTATTAGACTAAGAGAAAGTATCAATTATTCCAATAGATGGAGTACCTCCAAAAATATCGAAAAAGTGTGGATTTACTGTACTTAATTTACCTAAGAATACAATTTTACGAATGTACGAGCCACCAGTGTCAACTAGACTATTGTTAAAGTCGCCATCTATCGAGTTTTTTCTGGCTAGCTTAATACCGCTGTACATAAATGTTTGGCTAGATGAGTGCAATAGATATTATAATACCTTCAACATTACCAAACAAGTCTGTCTTGTCAATAGATATACATTAGCTTTGGCCAGATAAATTTGATTACTTCAAAGCAATCAATCAGCAGGATCATATTCGGCACCGGATCTGGTAACAAATGTGACCTATCGATGGACCTAAGCAATGTTTGATAAAACAGACTTGTTGGCAATGTTGAAGGTATTATAATTATCGGAGCGTAGTGAAACGAAGTGAAGATTTTAACTCAGATATGCCATTTTGAAAATCCACTTTTTGTTTTTACTGTTAACACGATATCTCATGAACGGAAGCTTGTAACAACTTCATACTTTCTGTAATAAATGTTCATAACGAATCGCCGGCTGTATCAAATTTTCAAGGTCATCGAAGGTCATTTTTCGGGAATTTGACCTTTGACCTACTGAGGTCATTTGAAGATGAAAAATGTTTTTTTGCATATGGAACTTCACTGACACGAAGAATCATCTAGGTAGTAGTTATATTTGTCGATATATACATTTTTAACCGAAAATATGATCAAATCATCAAAACCTTGCGGATCCAAAAATTAAAAAATATAATTGGAGATTTGAAATTCGCGCTTTTCATAAGTCGGAAGTAGATGTAGCCAAAGCGACATCTAGATTTAAACGTATGATCATAGACCATTAACTTTGTGTGAAAATCTATTACGAATTTTAATCACTTATATTTTCTGATCTATTAGGAATTATTTTATTGTGCTTACACCTTCAAATTCAGCGTTAAAAGACGGTTAATAACATAGTAAAAACATCTCCAAAAGGTAAGAGAAAGTTGTTTTTTTAAGGGTACATGGATGTCTCCCATAGGCCCCATGTTAACCAAAAAAAATATTTTAATCACTTATATTTTCTGATCTATTAGGAATTATTTTATTGTGCTTACACCTTCAAATTCAGCGTTAAAAGACGGTTAAGAACATAGTAAAAACATCTCCAAAAGGTAAGAGACAGTCATTTTTTTAAGGGTACATGGATGTCTCCCATAGGCCCCATGTTAACCAAAAAAAATATTTTAATCACTTATATTTTCTGATCTATTAAGAATTATTTTATTGTGCTTACACCTTCAAATTCAGCGTTAAAAGACGGTTAAAAACATAGTAAAAACATCTCCAAAAGGTAAGAGAAAGTCATTTTTTTAAGGGTACATGGATGTCTCCCATAGGCCCCATGTTAACCAAAAAAAATATTTTAATCACTTATATTTTCTGATCTATTAGGAATTATTTTATTGTGCTTACACCTTCAAATTCAGCGTTAAAAGACGGTTAATAACATAGTAAAAACATCTCCAAAAGGTAAGAGAAAGTTGTTTTTTTAAGGGTACATGGATGTCTCCCATAGGCCCCATGTTAACCAAAAAAAATATTTTAATCACTTATATTTTCTGATCTATTAGGAGTTAGCAAAATCAATTTCAATGCAATATTCAGCTGCCTTTATTAAAATTTTTAAAAGCCAAATTAAGTCATTTTATGATGAACATTATTAGACATTAGATAGATTTGTTAGACACAGAATAATGATGCATATTAATCAGGTTCGGTTAAATTAGCAAGATTGTATTAGTTGAAATTAACTAACTAGAGAGATCCAATTTTTGTTTTAATACTAATAATCTGTTTTCAATGTAAAGCTATGGTAATTATTCGAAAAATATATTTGCTACTAATAATTGTTTCCTTTACAGGTAGGATGGCGGTTGTTGAACCAGGGACAAGGCGAGCCTATGTCGTTCCCTGGAGTATGAGTATGAATGAGCATTTCAGGTTACGGCCTGCCAGAATCCGGATTGAGCTAGCTCTCCGACTTGAGTAGAGAAAGGTGTATGGTGTAGGGGAACCTAACGTCAATTTTAGGAAAATTAAGAGATTAGTTAGTTAATTGACGTTAGCTTAAGCTTGTCTGAAATTTGAGAGTTGAAGTGAATTGAACTAGGGAGAGTTATGCAAAATCCCTGGTCTTTCACTGTGTGCTTTGGTTGCAGTTTTTTGTTAATCGATTCATCATATTAATTTTTAACAATGTCATTAACGTTTTTATTTTTTCCTCAACAGATTTTTAAACTCTTCTGACATTGCATTTAACTTGCAACTATAAATTAAATAAGTAAGTATTCTACAAAATTTAATTGTTGATCAATCATTTATTTTTACTCATTTAATACACTCAAAACTATCGTAATTATGAACATATTCCAGCTCCAATGTATAACAGAATTCCAAAATTTCTATTCATTGTTTTTTTCTTTTCGTTATTTTAGGCATCCAACTTTCATTCAATTAACAATGCGTTTGAAACGTCAGAGTGTTAACACACGTTCAAATGTTCAAAAAATCGCAATGAGGAGAATTCGTGCTACTCGGATATCAAACAGTCAAACGGCCGGACCTTCTACTGCAGGCCCATCTGTAATTGGTACTGGTTCATCATCAAGGGATTCTTCTCCTGAGAATTTCGCCATTCCGCGTGTTGATTACGGAGATTATCATCGGCCTCTTTTCTTATTCAATTGTGATTCGTCGGACTCAAGTGTTACAAGTGAGATCCAAGTCAATGAAATGCAGCAAAATGTAGAAATAGAACATTCTTCTTCTGATGAAACAATCATTTATAAACCTCCTTCATCTATAAATTGGAACTATTTAGTGAACTATACATCTAAACGTTTCGTTTATCCGGACATACCATACAATATGACACCAGCTAATCAGTGTTACCCAGCAGCATGGCTAAGAAAAGCTGTGAAGTTTGATCGTATTATTGAAAAAAATGATTGGCATTTTTGTGAGCACTGTAAAAGGAGGTTTCTCAATTTAACAATTACATCTGTTAGTGTTCATGGACTAAATTCGCAAAATTGGTGCAATAAGTGCGTCAAAAATCCTGATCTTTATACGGATGCTAATTTTATGGACCCTCGAGAGCAGCCTGAAGTACTCAAAAATTTAACGATGGTTGAAGAGATGTTGATAGCGAAAGTTCATCCTGTTGTTCGTCTTTATAAAATCAAAGGCCAACAATTTGCATACAGTGGTCATGTTGTCAATTTTGAGCAAGACATAACTAATCTACATACAAAACTACCAGTCAACCCGAAAGACCTACGTGGAATCATAATTGTAAATCGAGATACACCAGATGGGATAGCTTCATTTCAAGTTCGGTCATCAAAAGTAAGAGAAGCTCTTTGTTGGCTAAAGAGAAATCATATGTACTACCATGACATTGAAATAGATGATGAACAGCTGTCCCAGCTTCCGGAAAATGGCAACATAATGCAACTTTTGCCGAATTTAAATCGAGATTCTCGCCAGGATGGGTCGCAATCAGATGAAATGCAGTTGATGCAAGAATCTAATTTTCCTCACATACCACAAATGAATCAAGAAAGTAAAGTTCGAGATGCAACTGAAATTATTGAGTGGCCACATATTCGTCCTGACCCGATAAGCGAGTTCAGAACGGAGGGCTACATCACACAAGCTTTCCCCACCTTATTTCCATATGGTAGAGCAGATTTTAAGCAGAGCAGGAATGTCAAGTCGTTAAGTTTTGTGGAGTACTTCAAGTTTTTAATGCAGTACAAAGACGGTAGATTCGCTAAAGATTCAAGGTTCAGGTTTTTCGCATTCAATTCTATTATGAGATGGCAAGCTATCAATCAAGGAAATCTCTATGTGAAAAAAAATAAATTCGGTAACTTGGATGCTGAAGCTGTTTTGGAAAAAGTGAAAGAGGATTCACACCTTGCAGACTCAATTATGTTTTACGCTGGAAAACTACGTTCATCTAAAAGCTATTGGTTTCAAAGATCTGGTGAACTTCATGATATGGTAGAGCAACTGTCTACTCCACATATCTTTTTTACTCTGTCAGCAGCAGATTATCATTGGCCCGATTTGTACAAAATTTTAGATCCCACGAATAATATTGACACATCAATTGAAGCGAATCGTCGGAGACTTATGCATGATAACCCGCTGATTACGGCTTGGTTTTTCCAAAAGAGAGCTGAAACATTTATTCGTGAGGTTTTGTTACCCTGTTATAACGTAGATGATTATTGGTATAGATATGAGTGGCAATGGCGAGGAAGTCCACACATTCATGGAGTTTTGTGGCTGAAGGATGGTCCTAAGTTAGAGAATCTTGACGATGTTACAGACGAACAACTTTCCTACTTGACGAATTTTTGCGCGAGATTATCAAGAGCATGGAATCCCGATATAACACATGCCCCAAGTGACATACATCCGTCTAGGAAACGATTTACAGAGATTTTGGAAGATCCAGAGGATCTTACAACAATTCTTAACCGCTTACAGAGACACACTCGTCACGGTACACATTGTTTGCGTAAAAAAAGAGGAACCAACGTTGAAGCTTGCCGTTTCGGATTTCCGCATGAGCTATCTGATGTAGATGTTATTGCTAAAGACAAAAACTGGAAATTCGAGCCAAAAAGAAATGACGAAAACATGGCAAAGTACAATCCATTTGTTACTCAGACGTGGCGTGGAAACACTGATTTTACTCCTATACTTTCAAAAGAAGCTGTTTTGTTATATATTGTGAAGTATGCAGCGAAAGCTGAAACTGAATCAAGTGATTATAGAGAATTATTGAAACACATGGCTGAAAGTAGTGATCCAAACTCTCCAGCTGCCACCCTCGTTAGGAAACTTTTGGTTAGCTCTACAGCTGAACGGGATTTTTCTGCACAAGAAATATCACATCTGATGATGGGATGGCCGTTATTTCATTCTTCACGATCTTTTGTTACGTTGGTGATAAAAGATGAAAACTGGAGAAAGCTCGATTGTTCGACGGATTGTGAAGACCCTGCCATCATTGAACGCTATAAGAAGAGAAACAGGGAACTTGAAAATGTAACTCTTTTCGAATTCGCACAGAATTACCGCTATTCACAAAAAAAAATATTGCGACGCCGAGTCCCTGCTATAGTAAGACATTATCCGAAATTTAAGCTTACTGATAATCCTGCAGAAAATGAAAGATACTTCAAAATAAAAGCTGTTCTACATACACCTTGGAGACAAAGTATGGATGAAATAATCAGGCCATTCTTATCAACAAACTTCCCATGGACAAAAGCTTATAATAATATCCGTGATACGATAGGAGAGCCGCGATTTGAATTAGATGTAGAAGACTCTTTCGAAGATGACCCTGAACTAGATGAGTTTCATTTACACCTTGAACCGGGAATGGCGATTTCTAGAGCTGTTCCTCAGAATAATGAAATTCAGAACCTTGGCAGAAGAGAAATAGATGTTGCTCATGAATGGGAAGCTGATTCAGTGTCTGAAGAAGAAAAGAAAGCTCTAACCGATTGGATGACGATACAGAAACAAAGCTTCAATGTTGCAACGAATGCAACTGGTCGTGTAGCATACAACCTTTCTGATGATCAACAGAGAGTCATGGATATAGCCATGCTACAGATAATCCTTCTTACACAATCGAAAGATCCAGAAATAAAAAGAGTTATGGTACAAGGTAAAGCGGGAAGTGGTAAAAGTTATTTAATAAGTGCTCTTACACAAGAATTCAGAGAAAATTTTGGTTCGGACTCTGTTATGCTTTTGGCGCCTACTGGTGCCGCTGCTATTAATATTTCTGGTAAAACAGTGCATTCTGGTCTTATGATATCACCACAGAATTTCAAGCTTCTCACTGACGAAAAATTGCGAACATTTCAGTTGAAGATGTCTATGGTCAAATTGATCATTGTAGATGAATGTCCATGATAGGACTCCGTATGTTGTGGCAGATTTCAAGAAGACTGCAAGAAGCTGCAGGAAATGCTGATGATCCCTTTGGTGGTTATTTGATTTATTTCTTCGGTGATATACAACAACTGCCGCCGGTGAAAAACAATGCTCTTTATAGTCATTCAAATTCAACCAATGCAAATAAAGGAAGACTTGTTTTGAACAGTTTTCAAAGATTTTTGATGTTAACATCAAATCACAGACAGGCTG